AAAGTATGTATTTTGTCATCTGTGAGCAAGAAATGTGGGTATTATAGCACCTCTTGGTTTTAAGTTTGCTGTACCCTTTTCATCATGTTTGTTTTAAGCTCAGGTAAAGGTTACCTCCTCCTTCTAAGACTCCAGTTTCCATTCAGGGTATGATATTATTGAGTAATTGATTTTCTTTTTACTCTGGGCAATAAATCAATGTTTCCATATGGTAGCATGGAGGCAGGGGGTATATGATAAAGAGGAGCAAACGCTACCCTAAAAATGTTTTTACTAATTCAGCAGGTGTAAGGTGAAGTTTAACAACTTTCATGGAAATTCCAGATTGACATTTCAAGAAAAAAATGGTCCCTTTTTATAGTGGAAATGAACAAAGAAGGCTTAAATTGATATGCAACTTACAACATTCCAGAGGTTAAAAATAACTGATGTAGGTGTATTTCCTCGGTGTGATTCTTCGGATAGAACTTTTACCTTTAGCATAATTTTACTGTCAGCAAAATGTACTGTGATGTGCGTGTTGAAGGTAGGCCTCCTGACCCTTCAGTTTGCTCTAATTTCTGGCAACTCTTTGTAATTCTCATAACTGATGAGTGAATAACCATGTTGAATGCAGTTTGTAATCTAGAAGCCTGTGCTCTCCCAGGGAAAGAGGGATCGATTCAGAGCTGTGCAGCCCCTGGAGGCACGAGACCCCAGTGTGTACAGTACAAACAGAGTATAGGGTACATATACCTCGTGAGGTGCTCTTTCCTTCTACTCAAAATAACATTCACCTATGGAGGGAGTGCAGTAAGAACCCTTGGAAACTTTCACTAGTATGGGTTTGAGTATATGGTCACTAAGTTCACCCAACTGCCTTTGTTAAAAATCATGTTGAGTAGAATAATGCCAGAGGAGCATATTTAGTCCCTAGTTACAACCTTTAGTAGTCCACTTGATAAATTTGCTAGCATGTATTCATAACCTTTGAAGGGAAGCCAGGACCATTTTGGTCTGTGGCTTTTAAACATTGTCGTTGCTGCATGTGACAGGAGTATCGGGATGGATGAGTGTGGCATTTGGTGACAGGGAAAGCATACCCAAGGGACAGAGGCAGGTAGCCACTCAGAGTCCTTTTTACCATTTGGGAGATGGGGGCTTTCTTCCTCCTTTCTGGTTGGGAGCACTGATGACAATGAGGAGGCTTTGCCCTTTCTTGGTCAGCCAGCTCCCACTTGTGTTCTGTGCTTCCTCCTAAGACCTCCTCCTGCCTAGCATTGGCCCTCTGAAAGGAATAGTTATATGTCCAGTTCACCCCCTCCTGCCCTGGCCATACACCCATGCACATGCATGCTGTCCTCCATTTCCAGGTCCTCGATTTCAGGGCAGCCCATTCTCCTCTGGACTTACTTCTAAATACAAAAGACCTACATCTTTGGCCAGTAATGTCAGTTGCCCACAGGTTGTGTGTATGAGGCCTTTATTAATGGTTACTTTCTACATACTGTGGGGAAGCATTTGTCAGGCTCTGCAGAGTGATTATCAGGGTATAGACGGTCTTTGGGAACATTTATTTCCATTGGAAGGTGGAACTTTACCCAAAGTGGGAATCAGTTTTGCTCAAAGACATGTTTTGTGGTAGATAGTAAAGATGTGTTAGGGGTAATTTGACACTCCTGCTGGCAATGTTTCTCCATTCAGCATTTTAAAACCCATTCAGGTTATATCTTCCTAAAAAGAATTGATTTCTGTGTTTACATGAAACAGTTAAGTTAAATTCGATGGTCTGTTTTAAGGATTTCCATGACAGCCTCTTTTCCTGAGACGGAGAGATTGGAGGTAATCCACTCACTCAGTGTGGAATCAAACTGTGGGTTCTCAGTAGCTGAAGAAGCCATGTACTGTATAGTGTTTTTCTCAGAGTTTCAACTCATGTTCTTCAGATGCTTTTCTTTTTTTTAATGGTGAGGGAAAAGGTGTAATTTGGGATTCCACAGTGCCTTGCATATAGTAGGCGCCCAATAAATATTTGTTGAAGCAAACCAAGTTTCCCAAGTCCTTGCCTCTTGCAGTGACCAAGAACATCTTTCTCCTCTGAAGGGCTTGGCAGTTGTGGCTAAAAAATAAGCAGTATCATTATTTGCTTGAAATCATATATACAATTTGTATGAATTTCGGTATGTTGCCAAGACATGATCTTTTTCTTATTGTATTTTCTGTAAATATTTCTGGCACTGAACTGTAAAGTAAAGGGGAAGTGTAAATACGAAGGTGTACTCGTGTCCCCTCGCCTCCTGTGTTTTCTCTTCATTGGTTAGGGGGAAAGGCCCAGAGGCTTGTTTGTATTTATGCCGATCCTTTGTCCAGAAGAAGCCCATGGAATATTGAATGTAATACATTTAGTCAATTAAATTTTAAGGAGATTCTTATCTAATAATGTTGTGTGTACTTTTGGTTACAGGCGGGGTTTGATTCCTGCACGGGTATTTCTGATTTACTCTTTCCAGGGCATGTGTACTCTGCTTTTCCTCACCTTCATAATTTAGATCCGTGGGTTTTCTTGCTGGTTTTGTAGAGTTTCATGGAATATTCAAAATGAGATTGACTTTTAAAAATAATTTTTAACTGAATTGACATACAGCATTGTGTTAGTTTCAGGGTACAACATAGAGCGAGTCACTATTTTTATACATGTCACTATACAAAGTCATTATAGAGCTTGTGTAATGAAAATGCTGTGAACAGAAGCCCAGCATACAGACGCTAGTGTTCATTGGGGGCTGCCTGCCTGGATCTTAGGAATGTGGAAAGGCCAGCCGTCCTCCTGCCTGCAGATAATCTGGGCTCTATCAGGGTTAGCAGTCAGGAAAGGAGAGAGAGACAGAGGAGGTCATCCTTCCCCCACCCACTGCCCCTGTGAGTAGGGTTGGCTACAGAGGATTCCAGGCAGCATGACTAGCACCTTCCTGTCTACATCACACATGTGTAGGGTGGTTGTATCACTCGAGGGAACAATGATGAGAATTGGTTAGGGTACATGCCTCTGCCAAGAGCCGCCCCTCCAGCCTGGCACTGGCTCGATGTGACGTTAACATGTAACCCCCTGAACTGTACCTGGAGGCCAGGGCTGGCCTGTAATTGTGAGTCCATGCCTGTTCTGATCACAGGACCTCTCACTGGTCCTTTGGTGGCCATTGAGGCGTCAGCTTGCGCTGATTGCACAATTGGTCCTGTTTGGGGCTTGGCAAGAAAATGTGTGTTCAAGCCTTTCCCACCAGTGCTCCTCAGCCCTTTCTGACCCCACCCCTTTCAGGATCCAGTGTTAAGGGATCTCCCCCACCCCAGCACAAACCACTCCTGGTCTTGGCCTCTGGGCTGAGTGGCACAGCCTACCAAGGCAGTGTTCTTTCTGGGCACACGTTCCGATGCCATCTACCCGGGCCTCCTCTTCTGGGGACTCCGATTGTCCCATCACTGAGCTAAGACTCAGCCACTGGCTTCCAAGCTCCAGCTTTCCCCTCCTTCCCACCCCTTCTCTATTTTTCTGTGGCTGGCCTTCCTGCCTTTCTCCCTGAGCTGGTATCTTCCTGTAAGGGGGGGCCTTCCTCCCCATGTCTCCCCTAGGTCTACCGCTCACTTCTTGCAGCTGCTCTGCCAGCCTGGAACTGGGTCTCCCTGACTTTCCAACCCATGCTCCATGAGTTGCTGTGGTGCCAAAATAAAGGCTTCATCAGACTGGTTGCTCATTAACATGTCATGTCCTAAGCCTCATCTGGAGGTTCTGACTCAGGAGAACAGGGGGAAGGGTCAGAATTGGGGTATTTCATAGACACTTGCTTATGATTGAGTTAGCTGATCCAAGACCCTCCTGGATGGAACGCAGTGCTTCTGCCTCCCTCCCTTCCACAAGCAGCAGCCATTCTCCCCGTGAACTTCCTGCCCCTATCAGGCTGCCGGTCTGGCCATAGTCTCCCTCCAGCTCAGGAATGTTCGGGCCCTGGAGGTCCAGAGCCTCCTTCCTGCCACAGGCTGGCATGGCACATGGAGGTGTACTAACTACTACATGAATGGACGAATGACAGTTGAGGTGGGAAGAGACAAGAATGGCATTTGAGAGTATTCTCTCCACTTGGGAGACGAAGGAACAAGGCTAACAACTTAGAATCCCCTCACTGAAAACTCTAATGAGGTGTAAAGTTTCCAGATTAAATAGTCATTTATTGAGGGCCTAATGTGTGTTAGAAAGTTTTTAAATGGCAGCCCAGTGACCTAGGCTGGCCCAGCAGACTTGTTTAGCCAACAGTGTTTCAATGCTTGATGCAACATTTTTATATTGGGAGGTTTCACATAAAAGTGCAGATTTGGGGGGCTCTTTTGGGAAGAGAGATGTGGCAATACTGGGCCTGCCTTTTTGGGGGGGGGGCTGCCTTTCCGACGCAACAGTTACTGCCTGAAGCTGTGAAGCTGCCTGCTTTCAATGCACCACACTCCATCCGGTACACCACAGGCCCTGCCACTGCCACAAAGTACAGATGTGGTCAGGACAGGCCCCCCAGAACCCCCCCACCCCCCAGCTCCTGAAAGAATCTGTGACCTCAAATACTTGAGCAGCCACCTGGGGGCGATGTTTATCCCATTTATTCTAACTTTCAGCAGCTTGCTGAGGTAAGAATCATTTCCCTCTTACAAGAGGATACAAGGAGGTGTCCCATGAACCCATAGCATCTTAGCAGGGATTCAAACCCAGGCATGCCTGCCTGGAAGCCTGGGCTTTTGTTCTTGAGCAAACTCTCACTGCCACTAGCTCTGACCCATTAGTCCAAAAGTACTTGTCCAAAACAGCTCTCCCTTTGCCTGAAGGACACTGTGACTTCCTTGTTACATCACTCTCTCAGTCATAATTGTGCTAAGAGCAGAGTGTGGCCCGGCCCACTAGGTCCCCAGGGCAGCCCTGCCAGCCCAGCCCAGGCAGGCCTGGCTTGGCCGCTTACACACCATGAAGTACCCCCTGGTGCCACTGGTGAACGACCTCACGTTTTCTTTCCTGGTATTCTGGCTCTGCCTGCCAGTGGGTCTGCTGTTGGTCTTGTTGATCATCTGGCTACGCTTCTTACTTAGCCAAGGTGAGTTGCCCATGCTGGGCCCTAATCCTGGAGCTGGGCAAGGGGTTCCCGAAACTGGGCAGGGGGTCTCCTGAAGCAACTGCAAAGAGAAGTTTTCTTCATGTACTTTAACCACTGGCTGAGACAAGCAGTCTCCGGTAGGAGCAAAGGATTAGTTGAGTAGAGGCTAAGAGTGAGCACCGGAGTTTGGGAAGCAGTGTGTGTGTGTGCCCACACCTCTGTCCCCTCAGGGCCACTGCTAGCACAGAAGGTCTTTGGTACAAATCAGAAAGAGGTGGCCCCTGCCCACAGATGAATTCGTAAAAGGGGTCCTTTCCTATGAACGTAGCTAGGGCACAAGGCTGGGGGAGCAAGGCGTGGGCTGGATTTCAGCCTCTCCCAGTCCCCCTGCTGGGTAGTTCTGTGCAGTAAACAACTTACACAATGGGATATGGCAGCCCTAGGCATTTATCAGGTGCCAGGAGACCATTCCCGCTGCTTTCTGCCCAGACTATACATCAGGGAGGCATCTGGGTTCTCCGGGTTGCAAGATCACAGAGGCTGACCCTTGTCCTGAGCTCAGCATGTGGCCCAGAGGCACAGGAGGCAGGGAGGAGCCGACCAAGAGGAAAGCTGAGGGCCTGTGGCGGGGATGACCTGCTCCTCAGGTATCCTGTCCCCCTGGGCGTTCGCCTCACCATAGGGCCTCTTCCTGGGGATCGCTTGACCTTCCACCTCCTGCTCCTCAGTTCCAAGACTTTTGCCCAGCTAGGCAGGGAAGTTGCTGGGGTACCGCCAGCTCGGGTCAGATGGCATTGAGACAGGCTAAGCAGTTCATCCCCAGACCTGCCCCACGTTCTCAAATGTGGGCGCTGGTAATGGTGTGATTATTGGGAGTTCCTGGGGAGACCTTCCAGAAAATGCCTGTTTAAAGTATCTCACATTCCCAGGGTGGGTCGCAGCCCACCCCAAGGGGCATAACTCACAATGGGCTGGTGGCTCGTGACTGGCAGGAGAGCCCTTGTCTGTGTAGCGGCTCTAAAGCCATCTCTCTGGAGTCTAGCACCTGGGCCCAGATTTTAGCCTCGCCCCTTAATAGTTCAGAATGATTGCTAACGTTTTCTCAACACAGTACTAAAGGTTGTGCTAAAGACTGATGTGCATAATCTCATTTAATCCTCAGAATAACCCTGCGAAGTAATCCTTATTGTACGATTGAGGAAACCGAGGCTCGGGGAGAGAAGCCATGTGCCCACGTCACACACCTGTGAAGTACTTAAGAGTGCCGCTTACCTGGTGTCAGTCACATCCTGGCTCTGCCTCCTACCAGCTCTGTGACTTTGGGCAAGTCCTCTCTGAGCCTTGGGTTTCTCATCTACAGGATGGAGATAATACTGGTTCCTACCCCTTGGGGGCTGTGGAGAGATACATGTGAAAGGCAGGGCACCCAGCATGTGTACACACATGGCACCTACTAGATGCTTATAGGCTGACGAATAATCCAGTCCGTGTTGGTTTTGTCAAGGTAAGAGGAAGGGTAGGCATGGCTTCAGATGGCTTCTCTGGAAGCGAGGAGACGCCTCACCTAAGGTCTAAGGCACTCCTCTCCAGCAATTCATTCTCCTTGAAGGCCTCGCTCTAAAGCCATCCACAGCCTGCCCCGCCCTGCCCTTTTCTCAGACTTTCTCCCACATTCCATGTGGCCCTGTGCAATAAGGCATTGGTTATTTGCCAGGACCAGAAACTGTCCTTAAAGTGAGATGAGCAGTCCTCCCTCAGTAGCCTAGCCCAGTCTTCTTGGAGCTCTTAGTATTATCTCACCGGTACTGTCCTGGTGCCGGGGTTGGGGCCTGCCAGGGTTCGGGGGAGCTGGTTCTCAGGACACCCTGACCTGTGGTTTTCTAGTCTGCTGTGGACCTTATTGGAATCAATTTGGCCAGGAATCCAGTGTGAAAAGCAGATAGGACTAGCCCTGATCCTCCCTACCTACCCTGCCTGGCCTGGCTCAGCAGGGCAGTTCCAGGGCCCAGGAGGCAGCTGGTTTGAGCAGGGAAGACCATGTGGCCCAGGAGGATGTGCTTTCTTAGGTAGACACGGGAGCAAGGGGAGGAGAAGGGAGCTGCCTGGCAAGCTTGGCACTCAGGCAAGAGGTCGTGGGCAGCTGAGCCCTGGGGGCAACACTAATCCTGGACAACACTAACCCATGACATGAGGAGAGAGGATGCAGCCACAAGTGCCCTTCAAAGAGAAGATACTCTGCTGAGGACATATCTTTTGTGATTGGAAAGGAATTTGCAGAGAGAAGAAGAGAAACCTCCGGAGATGGATTTAGGGCTGATACATGCCTTTTGAGGGTCCTGCCCACCTTGTGATGGTCCTTGGAGTGAAGTGTTATAAATTCAAAGCTACCTTTGAATCCCCTGACTTGAAACAAGTGTACCCAGTGGAATTGCAGGGAACTGGCACTGGGGGTGCTGATCGGAGTCCAGCACCACCACTTCCTGCCTGTGAGCCTGGACATTCTACCTTTCTGAGCCTTCCTCATCCGTAAACACAAGTAACATTAGTCATTGCCTTCAAGAAATTGTCAACAGGATCAAATGAGAACATGCACATAAAACACTTAGCACAGAGCATATGTGCAAACAACAGTCACGATCTGTAGTGATGAGTGGTCCCTTCAATCACACTGCTTTGTAAAGCATCATCACTGCCAACTTTGATGAATGCCTGTTGTACGTGTTCTACTTCAGTCAAACCCTCATTGTAGAAGAGGCTGAAATATGCCCATTTTACAGCTGAGGAAATGGAGCCCACCTTTTCTGTCTCCTGCTCTTGGTGTGCCAGCCGAGGGCTCTCTTCAGCCTCCATTACTTCTCTGCCACCAGTGAGACACCTGAAGAATATAGTAAGAAGGAGAGTCCCCCCTCAGCCTCTCCTCCTCCTTCACCTTGCCTTCCCCAGATAAATCACATTAGCAGGCTCATGTATCTACCTAATAACACATGCAGGTTTTCCAGAAAAGTAGGGGGGCGGGTAGTTTTTACTTGTTTTGCAAAAAAAAGGAGAATTTCTCTGAAACTTGCTTGTGCTGTATCATAAACATCCTGCAAGTTGAAAGCTACAGGTCTCATGTGGTTGTTTTAACAGCTTCTGACATGCCACTGGATGGATGGGCCAGCTCTTTATGCAGTGGGCATGTGCCACACTTCCATCGCCCAGGCCGCTCATGTTGGACACACACACACACACACACACACACACACACGTTTTCCAGGTGTTTTATTGCTTGTGTGTGTTTCCCCACAAAACAGTGCTGCAGTGGAAATCATTGCACACATACACTCAGATATTTGTTAATAAATGGACTGGTGGGTGAACGGATGGACGGGCCAATGGTTGGATTTGTGTCTCCTCAGTGCCTGCTCTTGGACTACACTCAATACAGGTAGGTCATTTGCTCACCTCTAGGGCCTGTCTCTATTTGATAGGTGGGGATGGCCACTTTCTGAGTCATAAGACAAACTTTTTGTCCCTGGTCACCTTCGAGGTCCTAAAGTCTTTTTTTTTTTCATCTTTTATTTTTAAATTTTTTTACTTCAATTAATTAACATATAATGTATTATTGGTTTCAGAAGTCGAGGTCAGTGATTCATCAGTCTTATATAACACCCAGTGCTCATTACATCACGTGTCATCCTTAATGTCCATTACCCTGTTACCACATCTACCACCCCTCTCCCCTACAGGGCGGGCCCTGAAGTCTTCCTGAGATCTCAGGGCTGTCCCATGTCATGATTCTGCCTTGGTCTCTTGGTCTCAGATATGGCTGCAGGAATGGTCAGGCTTGGTAGGGGGCTCCTTTTGGGTGAGGGGTAGGAGACAGGATATGACCACCCAAAACGCCTTGTCTTGTACCTCCACAGATTCAGAGGAAAATGACTCAGATTTATGCTTTGACTGGGAGCCCTGGAGCAAAGGCCCAGCCCAGTTTTGCTGGGAGGGGACATTCCATAGCTAAGAGGAGGAGAGACCCTGCTGGTGAGCCTCTTCAGCCAGGTGAGACCCTTTTGGGGGGGCGGGGGTGGGGAGCAGGAGGGGGAGCCTCAGTTCCTACCCAAAGCCTAGGTGGCTGCCATGTTGGAGGTCTGCTGTTTGGGAATACTCTGCTTCATTCTGTCGGAAACCTGTTTTCACCATGTTGGAGAACCAGCCTCCTCTGCCATGAAGAGTTCCTTTACAAAGGTCCCCTACCCTTTACCTCTGTGACCTCACCTCCCACCACTCTCTTTAGGGTCTTTGCACTGGCTGCTCCCTCTGCCTGGAGCTTTTCACCCCACGTCCACTTGGCGCACTCCCTCACCTCAAATGTCCCCTTACATTTCTGCCATAGCACTCACCACCTCCTGACGTGTCTGATAATTGTTGCTCTAAATCCAAAGTGCTTGATTGGCAGCCCTGGTGGCGCAGTGGTTTAGTGCCACCTTCAGCCCAGGGTGTGGTCCTGGAGACCCGGGATCGAGTCCCACGTCAGGCTCCCTGCATGGAGCCTGCTTCTCCCTCTGCCTGTGTCTCTGCCTCTCTCTCTCTGTGTGTCTCTCATGGATAAATAAATAAAATCTTAAAAATAAATAAATAAATCCAAAGCATCCCAGCACTCCTGACACACATGGGGCGGGGGGTCAACAGCTATTTGTAGAAGGAATGACATGATGCCAGTGATGACAATTGCTGATGGTCATTGGACACTTAACAGGCACCTGTGCTGAGCACTTCCCTTTCACAAACTCATTTGTCAGATCCTACGAAGATGGTATTATTCTTACCTCCAATTTGCAAATAAGAACTCTGAGTGGCAGTGCAGTAAGTAATTTGCCCAAAGTAACAGGGCTCTGGTGGCACCCACTGAACAGCTGCAAAAACTCATCCATTCCCCTGGAGTTAAATGTCATCCTTGTGCCAAAGACCCCCACACTCTAATTGTCCTTCTCAACTCTATTATCTCTTTATACCTTTTCATGGCCGGAAGGGGAGTCTTGATTCCCTTGGCTATCCAACAGTGCAAAACACAGAACGTGATCTCCTGCCAGCTTCTTTCCATCTCGATGAACAGCACCTCCATTGATTGCCCTCATTGCTTGAGTCATAAATGTGGAGGTCAACCTTCACACTGTTCTTTTCTTCCCAGCCCACATCCAGTCCATCAGTAAGTCTTAAACTCTGTCCTTCATGCACCCACTTTTCTCTGTCCCATTGGTTTCATGGCCTGCCCTATTCCAAAGTCTGCTGATGCCAGATGTCACTAACCCCCTTTTGCCCCTTGTGGTCACAATGTGTGGAGCCCCTGCCTGCATGGGGTGAGAAACAGGGGCACTCACTTAACCTCAGTTACACTGATTCTTAACCCTTCTGGGGCATGGGGTTGACAGTTGAGGGTACTTTCCCTGGAAAAACACACACTGTCCTTACACTCAGAGTTCTGTGTTCAGGGCCAGCTTCACAAGTAGTAACCTGTGCAGTGCCATGAGGTCCTATGTTCTCAAGAGCCCCATGCTTGCTTTGATATTCAGCCGTCGCTTGTCTTAAAATTTTTAATTTTTGAGTACGGGGCCCACGCATTCATTTTTTAATGGGCCCACAGATTATGTAGCCTGTTCTGTTTGTGTACAATTAGTGGGGTAAGAAATGGAGACTAATGGACTCTGTCCAGAATCCTGTCCCATTTATATAGACCCCTTCTCACCCCATCACACATCTGTTCCTCTCTCACCTTTCATTCCATTGTCATCCCTAGACTCAACCTGCCATGCTTTTCCAGCCTGGTTTTCCTGGAGTCAGCTGGGTGGTGGCAGTAACCGAGGTGGATGGGAGAGACTCACCGGTGAGGGAAGAAGAAGACCCTGGCAAGTGAGGTGCTTCCCTAGGGCCCCTGACTCATCTCCTCCACCAGTGGACTCAGGAAAGCCTCCAGAGGACCCTGCTCTTCTCCCGCTACAGATGACCTCCCAGGGTCCTTGGGGAGGAACCCAGGCCTGTAAAGATGATATAAGCAGAGACACAGGGAGAAGGTGGCCAACTGAACTCAGAGGAAGTCCTAGGACAGGGCTGGGCTGGAAGGTGTGAGTCCATATTAAAGGAACGAGGGGGTTCCTGTGCTCAGGAGACCCCTGACAAACCTGCTGGGCCTGGCCACATCCATTCACTTAGCAAGCTGTGGAGCCTGGGCCCAACCCCTGGCACTGACTCCAACTATTGCTGACCATCTTTGGGAATGCCTGACTCCCATCTGTTCAAAGGGCTGGGGATCCTGCCCTCAGCTCCCACTCTCTGATTTCATACTCCCTGATACACCTTTAGGTTGACTTTAATAACAAATACTCATTTTATAAATATCTACAGAGTGGCTATCATAGGCCTAGTTATGATAAAAAAAAATAGCTCACATTTTATGAGCGCTTGCTATGTACCAGGTACTCTTCATGTGCTTTACACAGGGGTTTAACCCTCGCAAGAATTCTGAGGTAGGGCCTTTGGCTATCCCTGTCTCAGAGATGGGGAAGATGAGGCACAGAAGGCCAAGTAACTGGCTTGGAGCTACACGGTGGAGGTGGGGTTTAAGCCGAGGCCCTGACTCTGCTGTGCCAGCTCTTCTCTAGGGAGAGGTGTGGGGGTGATGCAGGGGAGGCAATCCCCTGTCCTTACACCCTCACGGGTACCCCAGAGTTGATAGCAGAAGGGGCCAGGCCTTCCCAGTGTCCCCTCCTCTGCCACCCCACATCCCACCAGTCACCACAAGCCTCTTCAATTATCCAGAGCAAAGAGAAAGGAACCTGAATTATTAGCTCGTCTGGAGCTCAGTCTCCCAGCTCTGCTTTTTCTGCCCTGTCAGAACCATCCATCCAAAGCACGCATCGGAACGTGCCCTTCCCCCTGCTTAAAGCCCCCTATGGCTCCCTATTGTCCTAGAGCTGAAGTGGAGTACAGAGCTGCCCTTTGGGAGATGGGCCCCACCCAATTTGCTGGACCAGGTTTCTGTTCTTACTGACAAGACTGCCGTGAACACCCTTGAACTTTTATCTTTGTGTACAAGTGTGCTTCTATCTAGAGGGTCAATTCCAGGAGGAGAAATTGTTGAATTTAACATCTCTGCATCCACATTTTGCAGATGTTGCTGGATCACCCACCATATGGTAACACGGAGGGTGTACATTAGGTACCTGCCCCCCGGGCCTTTGCCCTACTGTACATGTCCCTCCCAGTGCGTGCGTGCACACACGCTCTCTCTCTCACATATTCACCCCCACACACACCGCCCCACCCCTTCCTGCACACACGCCTTGTTCTAGCTGAGGAGATTTTGGCAACCTGCGTTTTCCTGGGATGTTTCCTGGCATTGAATAAATACTTTTTGGTAACAGACATCCCCTCTCAGACTTTGGCAATTTCTCTAACTTCCCGGTTCTGTAGCGTCTCATGCACTGCTTGATCGCCTCTGCCCCATCTGCTGGGAGGGGTGCTGGAGGTCAGCTTCCGTGCTGACCTAGAAAAGCCAGGGGAGCCACCAAGCTTCACCCTCCTGCCCCCAGCCACTCTGGGGGAGCCAGGGGAGCCTCCTGCAGGAAGATCAGACCCTGCGGAAGAATGGGCACTGCCTGGCACTGCAGGGAGGGCATCTGGACATGTGCCTGGGAGCACCTGCAGCAGAAGGCAGGGGAGACAGCTCCCTGGGGCTCCTGGCAGGTGAGCAGCTCTGCATGGCAGTTGGTGGGGACTGTGAGGAGATGCCCTCCCTGCTCTGGGTGGGAGGCTGATACCCGGGGCCTCTGAGGGATATGAATTAAGGCCCCTTTTTAACATTTTGTTCTATAAGGCAGGTTGTGTGTGTGTGTGAGTGTGGTAAACACAGCCTGTGATCTTCTAGTACTGAGCTCCCCAAGAGACATCATCCCTATTAGAGCAGCCGTGGCTGAGTGCCTGCTGCTGTGCACCTGCCCCAGTGCCAAGCACTTCCCATGACTTGTCTTATTTGATCTTCACAACAACCCCATGAGGTGGGTCATCATTCCATAGTCAGATGTGGAAATGGAGGCTCATAGAGGTTAAGTAATTGACCCAAAGTCACACAGCCTGGAAATGGCTCATTTTTCTGACTGCTAACTGAGAGGTATTTCTCAAGATCCATGTCCTGGATGATGCAGCTGAAGGTGGTGGTGTTGATGTTCATAAGAAACACGAATAAATTCAAATCAGTAAGTGGACAATGTCTCTCTCTTTGTACCTCTTGTCATGACACATCTCCCAGGCGTGCCCTTATTTTTGACCTCTAACCAGAGGCTCTAGAACCTGAGTGCAAGCCCCTCCCTCCCCACCCCCAGGAGCCTCAGTGTCGTCCTTGGCAAAGTGAGGCCAATCCTCCCTGTATTAGTTTCATGTGGCTGCCACAACAGAGCATCACGAACTGGATGGCTTAGAACAACAGAAATTTATTGCTCCACTGCCTGGAGGCCAGGAGTCCAGAAGGCACTGGCAGGATGTGCCCCCTCTGAACCTGTGGGAAGGATCCAGCTTCTAGCAGCTCCAGATGTTCCTTGGCCTCTGGCTGTGTCCCTCCAGCCCTGCCTCCCTCTTCATACAGCCTTCTCCCTGCGTGTCTTCCCATCGTCTTCCCTCCGTGTATGTCTGTCTGTCTGTCCAAATTGCCCCTGTCTATAGAGACATCTCATTTGTGAGGGCCCACTCTTATGACTGCATTTTAACTTGATTACCTCTGTCGATACCCTATTTCCAGAAAAGGTCATATTCTGAGATCCTGGGGGTTAGGACTTCCATGTATATGTTTTAACGGCACACAATAATTTCTGGCACCCTCTTCTGTGAGGATCGAATGTGGCCATGCGTGTGGAGCTTTCAGCACAGTGCCTGGCTGACACTTTATAAATGTTCCATAACCTGCTGCCAGAAGAAAAAAGTTGAGCACCTGGAAATAAGGTGCTTGGTGTACATCATGCGCCCAGGC